GGAAAGAACCGAAGCATCTGTAGGTTCCTCCGTGGGTGGCAGGGCCCAGAGGGAAGTCGCCCTGGAATGTTCCGTTGACGCTTCGCACTGCAGAGAGACTAAGTTCACGGGCCTCCCCCTCCCTGGATAGATGGTACATGTCAAAGGAGCGCCGGGAGCTGCAGGACAAGGTCACGTTCTCTCCTGCCTGAACCGTGGGGCCTGGCTGGGCTGAGAGAGAAGGTTTCTCATATTTACCTGGAAGGAGAAGAGGCAGTTTCTTCAGGGAGGTTCTTCCTTGTCACAGCTCCCCTCACATCTGAGCTGAGAACTCACTCCCCTGCTCTATGCTAATGCTCTCTCTCACCCTCCACCCCATCTCTCTTCATGTCTGTTTCCTCCTTCCACCTTCTCTGTCTCTCTAGGTCTCTGACCTCACTTCCCCAGCCCGTGGTGTGTTTTCCCTTTTCGTATTGTTTTCTTCTCTATGATCCTCCTTGGATTGTTGACTTGATCTTCCTTTTTCTTTAATTCTGAGTTTCTCACTTTCTGTTTTGTTTATAACCTTCTGAACATTTCTATGTATTATCTATCGATCTATCTATCTATCTATCTATCTGCTACCTGTCAATCTATCAATTATCTATCTGTAATCTATATCTATGTATCATTTATCTCTCTATCAATGGTCTGTCTCTCTATCTATCCACCATCTATTATCTATATTTATGTAACATCTGTCTATTCCCTCTCTATCTGTCTGCCTCTCTGTCTCTATGTATCGTCTACGTATCTATGTACCTATCTATGTGTCTATCTATCTCTCTATCTACCTATCTATCTATCTATCTATCTATCTATCTATCTATCTATCTATCTATCAATCATCATCATCATCATCTCCATGTATCATCTATCTATCAATCGCCATCTATGTATCTATAACCCATCCATTATCTATGATCTACCTATTTATCATCTATCTATATCTATCTATCCATCTACCATCTGTCTCTCTCCATCTCCTTGTCTTTCTCTGCCTCTCAGTCTCTCTAGTTCTATTTGGAATCTCTGCAATCCATCCCCACATCTTTATCTATCTCTGTCTTTGTGCCCCTCCCTCAGGGTTCTGATTTTGGAGCTTTTCTCTCCTCCCTTCCATCATTCTCTCCACTCCTCTGCCCTCTCTTCTGTCTCTTTATGTGTCTGTGAGTCTCTCGGTCCCCTTCCTCTGGCTCATTGTCTGTGTGTTTATGTCTTTGCTTTTTGATGTTCCTGATTTCTCTCTGTGTCTCTCAGTAATCGATCATATGTAGGTTATGTGGAATATGAGCCTCAGAATCCAGTGCGGGGACCCCAAGTACACACAGCATACAGGGGTTGGTGTTCTGGGGCCACGATATCCTGGGACGATGACTCTTCACTGTACGGAAGGCAGAGGTGTCAGAACAAACACGGCATCTATAGGTGCCACAAGGTCTGAGGCCACAGGGGCTGACTCAGGACAGAAATATGGGTGTCCTTGGGTTCTCCTGGTAGAAACGCTTTGCGGAGGTAAAGCAGAAATGAAACTTCTAACCTGTGCCAGGTATCTGAGCAAAGTCAGCATGGAAGGACGCCTGTCTCTGGGACATGTCTGTGTGTCTGGGTGTCCCCTTTAACTCTTTCTCTCTTTTCTACCTCCCCGTATGGCCCCTGTGTCTGTCCTCTGTTATGACACCTGGTCTGTACTTGTGTCTCCTGTTTCTCTGTCTTTGTTGGTACAGACCTCGCCAAGTCAGTCTCTCTCCATAAGAATCCCACACTCATCTTCCTCATGACCACCTGGGGCTTCCAAGTCCTAGATCATTCACTCTGTGTCCCAGTGACAATGAGAAGAATGTCCGGACACTCTCACCTGTGATCACGATGTCCAGGGGGTCACTGGGAGCTGACAACACATGGGGGGAGTGAGTAAAAGAACCGTAGCATCTGAAGGTCCCTGCAAGGGTAGACATCATGGAATTGATGGAATAGTTGGCCTGGGAACCCCTACCATGGAGCTCTCCAACAAGGTGCAAGGGCTCCTCAAGGGTCACCTCACGGTGCAGAAAGAAGTGCTCAAACACGGTATCTGAGGAACATTGTAGGGTGACCGTCTCTCCTGATTTCACCAGGGGACCTGGGAGGGCCAGGAGGGAAGGTTTTTTGTGGACTCCTAGAAAGAGAGGTTGTGAGTTTAGAAGGCGTCTCCCTTTGTCATCATATCCATGGCACCTGGAACGAGTGAGGGTTCCCCTCCCGGCTGTCTGTCTCTTTCCTCCCTCTCTGTGTCTCCCTGTCTTTTATCCCCTGGTGCAGGTCCCTCCATCTCTCTCCCTCCCTCTTCTCTGTCCATCTGTCTCTAGTAGCCTTGGACGCCCTTCCCACTGGACTCAGCCTCATCTCTTAGGCTGTTGTATCTGTTTCCCACTCATCTCTTTCCTCCTGTCTGTGTGGGGGTGGAAGAGGAACCATGGCAGGCTGCATGTCCAGGCTCTTAACAGCCTGGTTCAATCTGTTTTGGATAAACTGGAGTCCCTGGCAGGAGGAATGAACTGATCAGTAAGGCAGGCACCAGTGTCCACACCCCCTGTTCCTGGTGGGGATTGGGAGCCTCTCCTGCCATGCCTGTGCCTTCTCCATGGCCTCAGCTTCCACAGGGTGGCTCCTGGTGCTGGTTC